ATATATATATGACTAATAATCATAGCCCAGACGATATTACCTTAACGACCTGTCCTTCTTTGTACTCATTCCAATATGTGTTATCAAAGCTGTAACTAACTTTGTATGACGTCACCCATGCATCCATATCTGGGTTACCTTGTGTTGCAATRCCTGTCACTGTCTTGACCTGTCCAAGGTCAACCTGTATGTACTCATTATTRCCAWTTGTTTGGCTGCACCATGACGAACTGYCATACARACGASCACGTGGTGCAGYATGGGAATTATCGRATGATGAAGATGACGTTAAGTGTGAGTCTGGTATYTGTGWRYYCTCAAGACCAAGCGACGAAGTGCAACCTTGAAAAAAATAAACGAAAATTTATACGTTTTGCGAAATGGCATGTGACATGCAATGATGAAGAGCACTCCGAAATGTGCCTCCTACCTGAAGAAAGTCCTTTGAAATCCACCCTTAGCAACTTCCATCCTTGGTAAGCAGTTGGAAGTACACGAACAAACCTGGCTCTGAATGGGTTGATTATTGCATTAGTAACCACTGTTGTTCTGTCATAGTTACCGCTGAACTGTCAAACGCAAAAAGAAAAGGGCGAAAAGTGAACTTGGTAACCGGATCTTACTGTCAAGAGCTCTAAACAGAAATAGCATATTCAATTTGTTTTCGAGGGCTTTGGGTCCATCTCTTTTAACTTATTTAATTGGCTGAAATAAGCGTAGAAACTTGAAGACAACCAAGGTTTATGATTGAGGACTTGCACCATCACGTGATGGTAGCCGTGAAAGGAGTCACAGCTTTGGGTCCATCTCTTTTAACTCTTTTAATTGGCTGAAATAAGCGTAGAAACTTGAAGACAACCAAGGTTTAGATTGAGGACTTGCACCATCACGTGATGGAAGCCGTGAAAGGAGTCACAACAATATACAGTCTGGCTTTTTCCTTGGGGAACTGAATTTCTTCTTATGTTATTCAAATTTTGCAGCAAAAAGAATTATTTATAAGATACACTCAGCCTTACAAATAGGCAATTTCACAACTTGAGTTAGTCAAAACACCTCTGAGAATTAAAGATAATCATTTGTGGTTGAAAATTTTATTTTTCCCCCCACCAACATTGATAAGCTGCGTTTAAAATCTCTAAAATTGCTGGCTTCCAAGCATTACCTCTTTTTCACTTGACTTGTTGTAATATGTTGACCAAAGTTCGTTGTTTGTTGAGTACAATACTTTATACTTTTTTACCCATTGATCTTTGAATTCCCCATCCCCCTGTGTTGCTACAGCACATATGTAGAAAACAGCACCTAGATCAATCTGTAGATAATCACCAGGTGCATTTCGGGAACTCGGGGCCCAGGATTTGCTACCATCCAGTCTCCCGTAATAAGGCGGGTAAGGCCAATAAAATGTTGTTGCTGTAAACCTGTGATCAGGTACCGAACTAGGATCGGGTATACCAACACTGTGACTTGGACAACCTGAATAGAAGAAAGTTTGAAGGTCAAACATTTGTGGAATATTTACAAAGTGAAGGCTATGCAAAATATTAAAAACTTAGTATTTTAAAAGTCTTTAGTTAATT